AATATATAAGAAGTTGACAGCAGCAGCAGACAGGTCATTCGGGCACACTGTATAATCTCCTACGAAGATTGGGTAGGTTTGGTTTGGTCCACCAGGACCATAATTGGTGCAGTGACGATATTCTTCTAAATCAAACCATAAATTATGGAAATTTAAGACTAACTAATTCTTAATCATGCATTAGGACCCTCTAGAACCCACTGCATAATGATCAGTTTAGGTGAAACGTATGATGAAGGTATGTCTCCCTATAAATGTTTCATGCAACCTTTTCTCTTCTTAGTCAATGAGTTGTAGCTTAAATAGAATTGTGATATTAAATCTTATAAGTGGTGGATTTCGAGATCACATTGGGAAAAAAAAAGTACTTTGTATGTATTTATAAGTACTTGAATTACTATTTATATTATTAATGGATTTTAAAGAGTTTTAACGAAAAACTCATGGTACTATTTATTTTAATGAAAAATCACATTTTTACATTAAAAGTCAATTATAATATTATTCATTTTACCCTTTATTTTGTCTCTATCGTTAAAATTCAAAGTTTTCAAATCATTTTCATTAGTTTTCCTTTAATTTTATGGTGAAACACAACTTTATTCATGGTATCAGACCAAGTTGGTCTATGTGTGAAGTCTGATGCCCACACGTGCCCCACATCACCCAATTGTATTGTCTACGTGCTAAGCTTGAAATTCACCACACATCAAAGAGTACAATAGTGTAGTCCTACGCAAATGCATGAAGATGCGCAAGGGTAGACTCGCTCAATGACAAGGGTGGTCAGCTGTACACCCAAACTGTGAAAAATCTCCGCACCAGACTGCATTTGCCCACCCAGTAGTTGGGAGAGGAAAGTTGGTGTGGGGCTGCATATTACGCGGATGTGAGGGTAAAAGAGTTTCATATGGGTAAAAAGAGAAACCTTACAAAAATTTATAAGAGGTTAGACTACTATTTATATTGCCAATTGGTTTTATAGTAAAGCCCAACTTTCTTTATGATATCAGAGCAAGTTGGCTCACGTGTGATGCCCAGTGGCCATACGTACTCTACGTCACCCAATTTGGATTGTCCACGTGTTTGCTTGAAAATTGATCACACGTGAGGAGCATATGAGGATGTGAAGGTAAAAGAGTTCCACATCAATGAAAAAAGATACTTTGCAAGAACTTATAAGACGTTGAACTATTCTCTATATTATCAATTGATTTTATAATGGAGCTTAACCCTCTTCACATTTATCCTTTTCTACCCAAAACTAGTGGCCATATTTAGCCTCTCTCTTCCATTTCAACCCCATTTCACCAAAATTCACCCACTTTAACTAAATTTCTTCATCTCAACTTCCTTAATCACCCTGACCTCACAATTGATAAGATCCACTTACCAACACAGAAATAAATTTAGGCAAGAACTCCAGACCAAGATACATCTCTCCACCAAGGAATTTTTTTTTGAATCTGCCACTAAATCTTATCATATATATAAGGGAAGTGTTATTGGCACTCCAAAAATCTCATTCTACACTTCTCACAAGTGTATTTTTATTTCCAAATATAAAAATTTGAAATGTAGAATGAGATTTTTGGAGTGCTAATAACAATTCCCATATACAAAAGAAAATTTAATCCCATATTGAACTCCTAACTTTTGGGTCAGTGACCTGTAGGCTCAGTGGCCCAGATACCCCATAGCCAACTGATAACTTTTGGGTCAATTCCTAGCCCAACTTCAATTCATAGGGCTCAACCCAACAAGCACATGCTCAGCCCAATTAACAACCCAATTGCAAGCAGTTCGCACGTGTGAGTATTAAAAAACGTGTACGAAAGCGATAGACTTGGAGAAGCTTCCGGTTCTGGGTGGTCGTTTTTGTATGAGCAACCCTCTTCTTCCCTTGCCTTCAAATCGAAGTTATTAGATCGAACCGAGCAATTAGGAACTGGACAGAGATCTCAACTGGGTCACCGCTCAAATTAGCTTTCTTCAATTCTGGTTCACCCATGTCTTCTCCTGCCGAGTAATACTAATACCCTCTTCTTTCTTCTCTCTATTTCGTTCTCAGATTCATAGATTATTATTATAAATTATTTCTGCCATTATACTTGAATTTATATATTGGGTTTTGATTTTGGTGCTGTTAAATTTTACTAGGTTGCATTTGATGGTGTTTTTGTTTAGCTATGTTTTAGCAGCAATTTGAATCCTAAACTTGAATTCAACTGTGTTGTGTACAACATGATAAACCCTTTTTTTTTTTTGGAGAAAAGATGATAAACCCAATTCTTAAATGGGAGTTCTTGAGATGCTGGTGTTGGTTATATTAAATGTTTTAGAGTGTTTGCATTGGTTTCATGGCCCTGAGGACTTTGAGTTGCTGCCCCAAGAAATCGGGTTTTTGTGATTGTGGATTGGACAGATTAGCTGAGTTAGGCATTGTTGTGGGTGTATAACTTCCAGATGAAGTTAGCATAGCAACGAGCGGTTTATTGGATTGATGACAATATAGGGTTTGATTAATATATTGTATATGATTTTATCTTCATAATGGCTCTGCTCTTGTCCACGATGATTGAGTACGATCATCCAGCTATCTTGTGCATCTTATTGTTTTCCCTGAAGATACAGTTGCTCCGATTGCAAGTTACAACCATATATTATTTGCTTGTTTCAGATGGTATCAGTCACTCCCACCCATAAGCAAGGCTTATGGTACCCTCTGTGTAATTGCAACGACAACCTTTCAATTGGGGCTTTATGATTGGGAAAGTATTGCATTAGTGCATAAACTAGTATTCTCACATTTCCAGGTATGTATCCCATCAGATAATATAAGATTTGTGCTTAGTTGTGAAGATATCAATTGGGGATTTTGACCTTCACCATTCTTTGTAGGTTTGGAGGTTGTTTACAAACTTCTTTTTCCTTGGAAACTTCTCCGTCAACTTTGGAATCCGCCTTCTGATGATGTAAGTAATAGTTCTGTAGTATACCTAGTCAGATGAACTGAAAATAGATCTTTGTGAGTCTATACTTCTGGAAGTAATAGTTATATAGGATATCTAGTGATACTTCTCCTTTTGAAAGCATACAACTTTCCCTTTAATGCAGCATGTTATCTAGTCGGAGACAGATTTGTACTTCTTCAACTAATGGATCAACTGATATTTGAATAATGAACATGATTATTCATGCACTAATACAAAAATGTTAATTATTGCACAGAGCAAGATATGGAGTTCAACTTGAAAAGGGACCATTTGATCGACGAACAGCAGATTTCTTATGGATGATGATATTTGGAGCCACGACATTATTGGTGCGTGAGTTGTCATCATCATACTTTTGCTTTTTAGTCTGTTTCTTCAGAAAGGTCAAGTCTGTTTTGCTGTGGTGTCTAGGCTAACTTACAGTCACATAAGCTGTCTAGAAATTAAAGGGGAATTGATTTTTTTTTTTTTTATAACTCAAAAGGCCGATTTTACTTCGTTTTTACTCTTCATCATGTATCCTTTTTATCTTCCTGTTCAGTGTCAATCTACTATTGCAGCCTTTTGTTTCACAGGGAAATATACTATTGAAATTTTTTAACTTAAGGAAGTTGTTGCGCTTTTGATTATGTCTCATATAGTGTAGCTTGATAGGATCTTATTGTCAGTGAATTGTACTCCAATCATATTTCCCGTTTTCATCTTTACTCTCGTCTTGAAATTTTAGGTTTTATCTGCTATCCCGATATTTTATTCTCCTTTCTTGGGAATATCTCTCGTGTTCATGCTTGTTTATGTCTGGAGTAGAGAATTTCCAAATGCCAACGTCAACATATATGGTCTCGTGCAACTTAAGGTACGGACATTGGTATACATTCAAAGTTTCTCTTGGGTGCTTCTGTTTTGTAATTTATCTGCATCTACTTATTCATAATGTCTGGTGAATGCAATTTCTGTATATTGTGATTGCAGGCGTTTTATCTTCCCTGGGCAATGCTTGCCTTGGACGTCATCTTTGGTTCCCCAATTATGCCAGATCTGCTGGGAATCATTGCCGGACATCTGTTTTACTTCTTGACTGTGTTGCATCCATTGGCAGGTGGAAAGAACATATTACAAACTCCGAGATGGGTGTATCCTTACTCGATTCATTTATTTATTTTTTTAAAGTTGCAAAGTAATTCGTGCAAAATCGAAGCTATCATATTGCTATTCATTCTCCTTCACATATCATCTGTTTGAACTTTAGTTTCTTCTGTGCTTGCCTACTGCATTCTACTTGTAGCTCATTGCACTCAAGTTTTAGTTTCGTATTTGGATCACCACATTTGCATACCTAAATAAATGTAGCTCATCCATGTTCTACGTATCATAATCGTCCTCTTTTTGCAGTATAGCTGTCACGCTTTACTGGGCATTGCCATACTTTAGCGCTACATGGTACTAATTGATTTATCACTCGTCAATTAATCGTACTCACTTGAAGGTAGTTTGTCCATAAAGATTTCCTTAACTGTTACTGAACAGACGTAAAATAGTTGCAAGATGGAGGATAGGAGCTCCTCCACCAACTAGCAGAACCCAACCACCTCCCCCAGCTGCTGCTGGTGTGGCTTTCAGAGGGAGGTCTTATCGACTTCGTGAGTGATTGTGATCTGCAAAGGTGATGAGATTTTTCCGATCATTTCAACTTTCTCACTTTTTTGGAGGCCGAAACTAACAAGCAGAAAGGAAGCAATTTAATCATAGTGCCATAATTGTTGCAAATGTAGAAAAAAATTCCTTCCCCATTGAGGATACGTTTTCATAGTTTGTTGAACTCGTGAAGTTGTGTAAGTTACTATGAATGCCAATGATGCAGAGAAATTTTTTTACCAATTTTTCGTTCTTGGTGCACCATATGTTTGAATTTAAATACGATAGCTCAAAATTTTGTTACCAATTGATCCAACAGATGATGTATGATAATCAAATTGTCAACTTGAATTAGAAATTCTTGGTGCAAGACGTTCTTTTCTTCATTACAAAATAGACAGGATATTGTCGAGAATGCATTAATAGTATATCCATACATTCCATTGGCTTACAATGATAATTACGTGTTTTTTATATCATAATGACGGATTAAAGAGCAGACGTCTATTCCAAAATTGGACTACATCATTAAACAGCTTGTAGGTCTTGGTTATACGATTTTTTTTGGATAGTTTGGAGATTTGAGAGAAAAAGAAAAGGGAATAGGCATTTCTGTTGGCAATTTCAGGTAAGAGTATGATGGATGGATTTGGAGAGAAATGAGATTTGGGATAAACAGCAATATTTCTCGAACAGAAACAGAGGGAAAATGGTCAAAGTGGAGCAAAGACCAAGGACAAAGCGACACGTGGCAGCATGAATATGAAGGATAGAGAGAAGGGAGGTGAGCCATCAGATGAGATCCATGTTTCTCTCCCCCCACATTTCTCTCTCCTCCCTCTGCTTATAATTTGCTTCCTCAAACTAACCCCAATGGAGTAACCAAACCACAACATTAATAACTCCACCAAACAAACAAATCACTTCGTCCTTCAGAAAACAATCCTCACAGCTACCTGTATAACAACAAAGAATAGCACCACAAGCAACACAGAAGACAGACTCTTGCATTACAAGATCGAGGTAATCGAAAATGTCGTGGCAGACCTACGTGGACGACCACTTGATGTGTGACATTGACGGCCAGGGACAGCATCTCACCGCCGCTGCCATCGTCGGTCTTGATGGAAGTGTCTGGGCCAAGAGCTCTTCCTTCCCTCAGGTCCAACCCTACCCCGCTCCACCTTTCACCATTTGCATGCTTTCCTTTGTGCTTTCTTTTCGGACTTGTGTTTCGGATAATACTTGGTTGTATCGTCACACTGTACACAGAGACGATCTTGAAGCTTCAATCGTCATGGTTAATATTCCTGTCCACAATCTGACAACATAGTATATTACCATCGTCTTCGTTGTATGTATTTGGTGTTCAATATAATTGTACTACATGATTTACTTCATCTGATCCATATATTCAAAATATCATAGGATAGTGATTTCTTAGAGAAATATGTTACCAAACAATATATGGTTATATTGGCATATTGGGAATCGAAACACACATTCATCCATAAATCGTCGTGATTAATACTACGAGTTCACAGTTTGACACCATAATATACTTATATTTCCGTCTTTATTGTATGTTGGTTTGTGTTCAATGTAGCTGTTTGCATGCAGCATTGTGAATCTGTGGTTGATCTCTTTCACACAGAAATGCATGTGCTTGTGGATTTACTTAGGGAACATTATATATCAATCTTTACTTGCAGTTTAAGCCAGAGGAGATGACTGGTATCAACAAGGATTTCGAGGAACCGGGTCACCTTGCTCCAACTGGCTTGCACCTTGGAGGCACAAAGTACATGGTAATCCAGGGAGAGCCTGGCGCTGTCATTCGTGGCAAGAAGGTACGAGCTTTCATAATGTCGATAATGTATTAATAACATGTCATTACGTTTTGTTAGCTCAATGATATTGACGCATTATCGATTTCATATCAACAATTTGTTCTTTTGTCCGTTCCATATATAGTCGGACTACAGGTATTCAATGCACAAGTTTTAGACTAAGATATTCTTCCTACTTTGGTTTCGCAGGGCTCTGGAGGAATCACCATAAAGAAAACTGGGCAAGCTCTAGTATTCGGAATCTACGAAGAACCAGTGACTCCAGGGCAGTGCAACATGGTGGTTGAGAGGTTGGGCGATTACCTCGTTGATCAGGGCCTGTAGGCTAATTAATATTATACCATGTTCATCATCTCCTAGTATTTCAATTTTGGATTTTATTTTTATGTTTCTATTATTTTTGTTTCGGGGTTTTGGTTCCCAGTCTGCATCTCCTTCATCCAAAACCCTAAAAACTGGTGGTGAAGTTGGTGCAGACAATAACCATGTGACAAGGACTAAAAGCAGTTGTTTGGTGTTTGAAATTGTTCAAATTGCATAAACTCTATATTTTTTTGTATCCTTTTATTCCCTCCCTATTTTCGTTAATTTCTTGTAGTTTTTCTTAAAGAATCTCTACGCCTGGCAAAAGCTTGCCAGCACATATTTGCATAGCTGGTTGTGAGTATGTGATTTGGTTTTTTTTTTTTTTTTTTTTTTTCTCATGAAAATTATGAGAATGTGCTCTCTACACGTTTAGTACAATAATGAATCAAACAACTACTTGCATATAAAGAAGGACGTGTCCATGGGATGAGGGAAACTTATCAACAACAGAATTATCAATTTAAAGGTATTTTAGTTAATGAGATATATGTTAACTTTTTCATACGACAATGCATAATAGACTTAAGATATCGTAGATGTGACATTTCGATTGCATGAAAGTTCTTTCTTAATCATTGATGCACTTGTAAGCCACATTGCTAGTTGGCAACCATTGATCTTCAAATAATACATCCTCCCATTTTGGTGTTTGATTAATGGTTTTGCTGGCAAGGGAATACTTGTCATCTTTTTTGTTTTAATGGTGGGGAAAATCTACCATCGTGGATTGCCATTTTTTAAAAAGAAATGAGAAGGACCTCAGAATTGTAAGTTACTGCATGTCCTCACGTATCATAGAGAATATCTCCAAATCAAAAAAAAGAAAAAGGACTTCTTTGGGAAAGTGATAGGACAGAAATCTAAGTTAACTGTTAGGGTTAAGAAAAAGAATCTGATCTAGGTCGACACGGAGAGATCTAAGAGGTGGAAGAGGGTGGTCGTTGATGAATGAGATTCACTTTGGATTTATGTGTTGGGAGTTCGCGGAATAAAGGGAGAAAGAGATTCAGATCGTTTAAGTTTTTGAGTTGTTGTGAGGTGGATTAGTGTAGTGGATTAATTGGGGCAGTATGGTTAAATTAAGTGGTTCGAATCTCTCAGTTCGCAGACTCTGGACACAGAGATTAAGAGTGGATCTCAATCCAACCATTGAAATCTATGAGTGGTCAAATGCCAACCCCAAGAGAGTGATAGAGAGTCTAAAGGCAGTTTTGAGTCTTTGTGAAAGTCAGAGATACTTTGGACTTCCGAAATTAACAAATAGTAGTAGTTTAGGCATATAAAAAATTTCATTAATCAGGCCAAGTGCTTCCCATTTTTCCCTTTGGAAACACTTCTAAGAGAAAACGGTGCTTGTTAAAAAAATATTCAAAGTACTTCGCTTCTTACCCCAAAATACTTTTAAAATGTTTGACAAACAACTATTTATAAAATGAAAGTGTTTTTACTCTTTAAGAAGTATTTTTAACTCTCTAAAAGCATCCAAACGAGTTCTAGTAATCACACAAATTCCAACCATATAAATATATTGAACACATAATATCTCCTAACTATATGTTTTTTTTAGGGGAAAAATCACTTGATACATCCTTTTTTTTTTTTTTTTTATAAGAAAAAAATGGTATCCGACCAAAAAATGGTAAAAAAATTCTGAATTAAATTGATTCACCCTTCAGACAAAAAACAAAAATAAAAATAACATATTTAAAAACAGCGTGCGTTGTTTGAACGCTGGCTGTTGAGTATAGAAGACAGAGGCTTGAAACGAGAGCTGAATTTCCTCCGCAGACACCCCAAAACCTCCGATTCAGCAGCAAATCCCACCAGACACACACAAACCTACGAAAAACCTCATAAAAAAACAGAAACAAGATGTCGTGGCAAACGTACGTCGACGACCATCTGATGTGCGAAATCGAAGGCAACCACCTCTCCGCCGCCGCCATCATCGGCCACGACGGCAGCGTCTGGGCCCAGAGTGCCACCTTCCCTCAGGTACCCATCGTTTTTTCTCACTCTCTTCTCACAATAACACTTCAAATTTTCAATTTTTATGATCCCATCTTGCTTAAATCTTAGATTTTGGTGGGCAAGTCAGAGTTTGATTCAGTAAACAAATCCATTTCTGCGATCTGTGATTTGGGTTTTCATCTGATCGAATCGTTGGATGTTATAATTTTATAAAGATTTGTGCTTAATTATTGATTGATTAGTGTTTTGGTTGTTTTTGTTTGGGATAATTAGTTGAAGCCTGAGGAGGTGACTGGCATTATGAATGACTTCAATGAACCGGGTTCACTTGCTCCGACCGGGCTGTATCTTGGAGGGACCAAATACATGGTCATCCAGGGTGAACCAGGAGTTGTGATTCGAGGAAAGAAGGTAATTTTCATCGCTTAATTTGATTCATTCGTTCCAATACTTACAACCCACATGCATGATTCATGCCTATGCATTTTGGTTTCGGGAAATACTCGCATATAGAACCGGTTACATGACTTTTAATCAAAATTAGGATTCATGCCTATGCATTTTGGTTTTGGGAAATACTCGCAGATTAGTTTCCATTTCATTTGTAACGGGTTCCAATTGTGCGTATTTCCCTTTAGTTTCTTGTTTTCATGGTTTTTTATCTGGGTTTGGTCACTTTAATTTCAGGGCCCTGGTGGTGTTACTGTCAAGAAGAGCACTATGGCTTTGCTGATCGGGATTTATGACGAGCCGATGACTCCTGGCCAATGCAACATGGTTGTCGAAAGGCTTGGCGATTATCTTGTTGAGCAGGGTCTCTAAATACCTTGGTATGTTGTTCGCTCCTTTACTTGAGAGAAACTTACATACAACTATGATGTCGCTACAAGCCAACGAAGCACTTTCATGTGGAAAAGTTATAATACATGCAGATTCAGTGCTTGACCAGGAGTGCATTTTTGCTCGCCGTCCTTAAGAAACGGTGAACATTACACCACATTAATCCCCATTGGATGAGTGTGATTTACTCTATTTGTTACACAAATCTCAAAATTTAAACTTATCCAACAACACTTAATGTGGTGGTGATGCGCACAGCGTAAGAGTAGTGAGCAAAAATGCTCTTGTTTGTTTGGCTTGGGATACGATCACGGTGTATCCTAGTTTACGCAAGCTCTTATGCTTTTACTTAGGGAAATCCTCTCGATTTCTATAGAAGTTTTCATCTGCACATCCTAACCCGTCTGCTGGAATTGTTTTGTTGCAGTGAGAAGAACTACCTGTGTTGCTAGCATTGGAACCTCGTTTGGAAACAAAGTTTGGTGCTTGAGAACTGATGATTATTGGTCTTGTATTATTGTCTTTGTACTTCTTTGATGATTTGTATTGTATGATTTTCAAGTGAGGTGCTTGCCCAATGGATTTCAGTAAATGGATGTGCCAAATTAATTTGCATGAATTTATAGAAATTCTATTTTTATCATGGTTTTTCTCCGGTTTTCAGTGAACGGTTCTTTGTTTACAAGATATGATCCCGGTGTAACACCGTTGAATTCAGGGGAAGCCGTGTTAGTATCGAGTCGATGAAATCTGTGTGTGTGGCACCCTTGACTCAGGGGAAGCCGTGTTAGCATCGGGGCGTCGGGTCGATGAAATCTACGTATGTGACATTCCGGCTTCCGTTGAGGTGATGGCGGCCGAAGTTACAGGCACAGTTACGATTGTAATGCTTGGAAGTGTATTTTAATTCCTCTTGCTGAACTTTAATCGATTCATAAACTTCAGTATTGCCTCGACATATTGCAGATGTTCATCGTAGCTACATCGATTCGTCCTCTCCAATTGAGGCGTGAAGTTTCAACATAAGATGCAACATCTTTAGTTCAAACTTAAACCTCTTGTGTGCAAAAATATGTAATTCACGTGATCGCATCTTCAGAAGACGAAGCACTATCATACAAAACTTGGGGAGCAGTTTGATGTTCAGCAATTACATTCCCCTTGAAAATGGGGCAAAAACTTTCAAACCAACGCCGCTCCCTGCGTCACACTAATCACCGGAATACAAGAATCGCCATTATCTGGTATCCGGGGAAAGAAACGACATGAAAGTCACCAGAAAGCAACTACAAATCCACACCGGAACTCCGCTCATTGTGGAAGAGGAAGAAGTAGAAGATATTGCAGTCGTATTACTTGGCACGGTTTTGTTGCTCCTGTACAAAAGTTGCAAAACAAGAAAAGCTAGGTAAATATGGAGTGCAACATTAACAAACAGAATCCGTAGGGTTTCGTATATATAAAACTTACCCAGTAGTCATATAGATGCAGTTGTCATAGCCTGCACAAACAGAGGAAATTAGTTAGTTTTCAGCGAGAGTTGTAAAAGAAATTCAATTTAAGAGCGGAGTTTGGATCCGTGAATACATACTTGGGTTCTTATCGACCTTGAACCCTGTTCCTCCGAAACTGCAAGCAATATCAGTGGCCCCATTTTGCTGGTAATAACTGTTGAATGCGTACGACGCATGAGAAACGGTATTATCTGGCTCGAAACAAGGCTGGCTAGGCTGAATAGCTCTACAGTCCACATTCCCAGGACCACAAGCCCAATCCAAGGCATTCTGTAAGTCGAGTTCAGAAGCCTTACTCGAAGCAATGCACCATGTCGGTGTCGTTCCATTTGAACTGGTAACATTAGTCTCTGTAATCATATCCACCGAACTTTTTCCAGTGAAATCCAGGTTGTAGACGCTAGTCTGGTCTGGGTAAAATAGCCCCCAGTTCCTCTCAGATTCCAACCCTGGCTTCCTATTTTCGTTGAACAAAGAGAAGATGTACACATCCAGCCTCTCTCCGGGCTTTGCAGGAGTGCCAGTGTTGTTAATGACATGGCGAATCAAATTGGTATTGTAAGTTTGTGCATTATCAGGAGTTGCAGCTGTCTCTTTAGGCGATCCTTTTGAAGGCCAGCCCGTCTCAGTGACCATAACTTTGATTGTTTTGAAATTCAGGGCCATCAGCGCGTAATATATAGCGTCAATCTGAGCATCGAGCATGTTAGTGTATATCAAACCAGTGTTTGGATCAATAACTTCTGACGATGCATCAAATAGAGCGTAATCCAAAGTGACATTGCTTGGAGAATCTCTGTAAGCATAGTATGGATAAATATCAACCATGAAGGGTGACTGGTTTTCAGCGAGGAATTCCAACAGCGGTTTCAGGAAAGACGCATGGCTGCTATTAAAAGCCCCTGCTGAGGGAGGAAATGATCGGGACAGAACACCGAGGGAATGTGTGCTTGATAATTTGATCTTCTTAGACAGACCAACTTTTTTTAAGGCTGTGAGGACATTTCTCATGGCTGGCATTACTTGGGCAGAGAAATTACTGGAACTCTCAGTAACTTCAGCTCCAACCGTTATGTATGTGATCTTCGTCCCTGGGTAGTAAGGCAGGATGCTGTTCTTGAGCCAAGTGTCTACATTGGATTGGAACTGTGAAAACGCCAACAAATCTGAATTTGGAACCCCAATCATAAGTTCAACGCCAGTGTTTGCAAAGGCCTTGAGAACTTGTATGTTGGAGTCGTAAATCCTAACATATTTAATGTTATGGAGCTGCACAAGCTGCGCTGCTTTGTCAGGCGTCGGAAGATCATCAGCATTTCTACCGTAGCAAATTCCAATGGTACTTCCTCGGCAAACATCTGTCACAAAGATCAACAAGATTCAAACAAATGAAACTCATTCAATTCAAAAATGTCCGGTAACTCAAACACACAAACACCTACTGAAAAGATCGTATGACCATCAACGGATAGTGGTCTTCCAGCCAAGGTCTACCATTAAACCCGAAACCCTATTACCAAGTCCCGTAACAAATTCCTAGTGATAGTTAAACAATGTCAAAATCCATTAATTATTCGGAATAATCGGTTCCTCTCAAGAACAATTGCGGCATCAGCAATGAACCCTTCCAACTGCTGAAATTTCAAATTTGAATACTTTCCACTTGACCATATCATATTGTATATGGCCAAGCCAAGATAGGGTCCCCAAAAGCTCAATTATTGCATTCTCTGTCCAAATGGATATCCCAAAATCCCACCCACATGGAAAAAAAAGGTTAAAGATGCAGAGATGGTAGAGGACCTTAAAAAAGAAATTCATTAATTTGGCATTGCCCCTTTAAGATCTATATAAATAAGGTTCCAACTTCAAAACAAGTATATTAGGTAACCTTAATAAATACTTAACAAAGAGAAATGCTAGAGACTCTTAAAGTGGGACTCTCCATGCCTGACACCTCATAGTTTAACGTCAATTCTCGTGCTAATATTATAAAACGTTGTGCCAAAAACTGAGAATCTATAGAAAGTTTCACTTTTGACAGCCTCCTTAGCATCTCTCCTTAACTAAATATACCTAGCTGACCAAAATAAAATTTAAATAAAATTTTTATCATAATTTGAGCGATATTTTAATCTAATCTAAGAAACGAAGACAAAGGGACTCCTCTTCTTTAAAAAAATATGGAAGCTTGAATACTTTAAGCTCCTAAATTCTTAGAATTTCACACACCATATTGAAAAAAAAGGTAAACATGAGAAAAAGATCCCATAATGAGCAATAATGCAGCAAAAATAGTAACTTGCAAGAAACCGCACCGACATTCAACATTTTCCTTTTTTTGTGTGCATAATGTGTGTGAATTTCTCTAAAAGCACTTGGTGAAAACAAAGATCCAAATAAGTAATAAGCCAAATAAGAAAAATCACTTCTTGAACAAAGAAATCCCACTTGAAAGCACTTCAAACACCATCATCAACATTGCCCATGAAAAGAGAAAGTAAGCAAAAACGACAGAGATAAATAAGAAGAACCCAGAAAGAAAAACAAACCCAAAAGTGTAAGCAGCACTGAAGTGGCAATGACAAGCCGGAAGAACCCACTTCCCATTTGCTCTCTTTCCTTCTTCTCTCAAACAGCTTCTGCTTGTGCTTTTCTCCTTCCTCTCTGAGCTCCAACCAATTTCTTCAACGTTCTTCTCCTTCCCTCTTGTGAATAGCAACGGCTCCCTTGTCCTTACTCCTTTATGCTCTGGTCAGAGTCAGAGCTCGATCGTGAAAGCACTTAAGCTAATAAGCACTTTTGGATGTACGCATGTATAGTTATAAGTAGGGGGAAGAAGCTTTTCAGGATTATTACTGCTTGTGTCAGCGGAAGGACCGGACTTGGCAGTTGATTATAAAATGTAGTTAATTCAAAGGCATCGGGTCCGTTTGCTTCTGTTTCCCACTGTTAGCTGCTACTGTTGGTTTTCTGCTTGCCTCGATTAAATATTTAGAATATTAGGATTTTAAAGTGAATATTTGCAGGTAAAACTTCTCTTTGTCTATTGCTTTTGGATTTTGGTCTGCTGGGTAAAATCTAGAACTACCATGCTACAAGTTATCGGTCTCGATCCGGATTCCCTCCTTTCTCATTTTTCCTTATTTTCAGTCTTTTCTTATTTTAACGCTTACGACTAACTTTATTAACATTTTGTATTGACTTCTTTATAGCGAGAGAAAGATAAAGAAAAAAAATGAGAGGACAAGAAGGAAGGAGAAGGGAGGAGATTTAGATTTTCAACCTGCACCAACTAGCTGTTAATAAAAAAAAATCATCCGTCTTTGTATGTGGTAATATGAATAACTTCGGAAAGTTAAGGTTTCACCTTTAAATTAAATGTTTCTCAACTCTTCTCTCACATCTCATCATCTACAGCAGATTTTTAAGCTTAACGTGTGTAAAACTTTAATTGAGTTACGTGAAACAAGCTTGTTCACTCGGTATCGTAATAGAAAATTCAGACGATAAAAGAGTGGCTAAATTTCTTTTAAACCTATGCAATGTTTGTGTTCTTGTTTTTATAATAGCCTGAGTATTTTCCTCAATAATACCGGGAATGAATGTATGACAAGGCTTGGGAGTTGGGACATACCCTTTAAGCTTTTAAGAGCACTTTCACTGCATAGGGTAATAATTGTCTGGGCAATTGGGCAATATACAATTATTATCTTGATGAGTTGTAATTGTTCGAATGTATTTTTGCTTTGTATTGAATTGCTCGAGCAATTAGCGTTAAAAGTTAATTTTAAAATTAAAATATAATATTATGTTTAATTTCGAATAGAATTTAAAATCAATTTCATCACGACATGCATCATTATTCAAAATTACAATTTTTTTTCTTCAGAAGAGTAAGGTTAGGTATTTATAGAATATATTTAATTATTTCCCATTTTTCTATTTATATTTTTATTTTCTAATCAAAATTTTAATTAATCTCGTTAAGCCACGTGTCAACATCTAAAAATTACATTTAAAATTTTTCTGTATTTTTTAATTTTAACTAACTAAATTAGTATAAACGTTAAATTATTCAATTTAGTGTAACAGATTGTGCCACGTGGGCATAACGGTCACTTTTAATTCAACGATCTAGATTTTGCCACGTGTTCGATAACTTGCAGCGTGAGCCCCACTAGGCTTCTTTGTCTCTTGACGTGGCATCACGCACGTGCATTGAACGTGCTTGATGCAAAATTGTTTGATGCACGTGCGTGATGGAAACTTTTTTTGCACATAACCAGCATTATGCTAACATCAGCACGACGTCAGATCACACTCAAGCGTTAGATTGGGCGCAAATTGCATGACTGCTTCATTCAGCAGGCTTGGGCCCACGTTTTGCTCGACTTTTTTCAATGGGCTGAAGCTGCTTTTTTTTTGGGGGGGGGGGGGGGCGGACAAAAAGAGGTGGGCTTGAGCTGCTCTAACTACAAAAACCCAAATGAAATCAATGGGTAAGCCCATGCTTCTTCTGTTTTATTATTAATACAATAATACTAGGGAAACATTAGTGAACGCATCATAACAAATAAACTCTTGATTTCTTGTTTTGCCACTGATTATTATGGTCTGACTTTTAAAGTTTATTGATGGGTCGAGACCGTCGAGGTTGGAGGCCGTTCAGAAAATTCCAGAGCCGGGAATCCGTCGGTCCTAGATATGTATGGAGGCCGGTCTGAAAATTCCAGAGCAGTGAATTGGTAAGTCTAAAATATGATATAGTTGCCGTGCGTTATATACGTGTATACGTATAGCTTTTTGATGTAGCTCAACAATACTTAATACAGGAAGGGAAAAGAAATATGGGGTTAGGGACATGGAAGTTGAAAATCATCCAACACCAGAGCTTCCAAGTGAGATCATATTCACGCATGTACTCCCAAGGCTACCTCCCAAGTTCTTAGTAAAGCAGTGCAGGCGTGTTTGCAAGTCATGGTCCTCTCTCATCCGCCACCATTCCTTTGTCACCGCTTACCGCAGCTTTCAGTGCAGCAAGGGTACTACTAACTTCCTTTTACGGAAGGGGAGACGTTTCTTCTCCTCCCAACTAAACCAAGAAGGGAATCTAACACCCGTCACCCGCCTTTCCACCATTTATATTGAACCGAAATATCATTACTTCGGGGTAAGAAGTTTGGGTGGCTTACTGGTTATTGGATCCTATGGTGATGACCCTGTTACCATATCTAATTGGTCCACTGAAGAGTCTATCCAACTGCCCCATGAAAAATCGACCGCAAGATATGCCCGACATATCACATTCGGTTCAGTCCATTTACAAACGAGTATAAGGTTCTCCAAATCTTATTGGGTTTTGATGAAAAAGGGGATACTAATATTACGTTGAATATTTTTGTACCAGGATATGATGACCTCCCACAATATTATCTTTATAATACGAAGAGCAAACATGAGAGCACACTTGATTTTAGTTTTCCTACAGGGATGCGTTCTGTCTATGATAATCGAGAAGTGTTGAAAATAATGAGTTCCATGTTTTAAGGAATGTTTTATTCCTTGTTTTAAGGAATGTTTTAAGGAATGTTTTATTCCATGTTTTAAGGAATGTTTTATTCCTTGTTTTAAGGGGAATGTTTTTTTGTTTTTCTTAGTCTTCTTCCTTATATATACCCGAACCATTGTACATTGCAATTCATGAAATATACATCACAAATTAAAGCTATAATTTCTATATGGTATCAGAGCAGGTTCATTTGTAACCTGTTTCTACAATTCTTGCTGCTGCGATTTTTTCTTTCTTTCAAAGTCTAAGCCATGACTGAAGAAAGTCCTGTCAACCATGATAAGGAAACCCGGCACAATCTCTCTCCAAACTCCTCAGACGTTGAGGTTAACACCAATCAACGTTTATGTTCAGTTCTCTTGAACGAGTTCAATTATCTTCCTTGGTCCCGAGCTGTTTCACTAGCTCTCGGAGGCAAAGGGAAGTTAGGGTTTGTAAATGGAAGCGTGGAAGCTCCAGATCGTTCTTCCTCTACATACAATGCATGGCTCTGCAAAGATCAACTTGTCATGTCCTTGCTGCTCAACACCATGGAGAAACATGTTGCTGAAATTTTTAGCTACTCCAATTCCGCCCATGATCTTTGGAAAGCTTTGCAGGATATGTATGGAAATCAAAACAACTATGCACGGGTCTTCCAATTAAAGAAGGACATTGCCAGTGCTCAACAAGAAGGGAAAGCATTTGTTCAACACCTTGGGAGTCTCAAAGCCATGTGGAATGAGTTGGATGTATATCTCCCTCATACCACAGATCCTACCATTCTCCTAAAAAGAGCTGAGGAAGACAAAATTTATCAGCTGTTAGGGAGTCTGAGCTCTGAGTACGAGGACCTAAGGAGTCACATCTTGATGAGTCAAGATCTGCCTACCTTCAACAATGTTTGTGCAACTATCCAACGAGAAGAAGCAAGGAAGAAGGTTATGAATGTTGATCACAATCCTAGATTAACAGAGACTCGGGCATATGCATCAAATTACAAGAACTCAGAAGCCAAGGTATACAAGGGAAGAAACACACATCTAAAATGCAAATATTGCAATGGTGTTGGTCATGAGGAAGACAAGTGTTGGGAACTTCATCCTGAACTCAAGCCTAAGTTCAGCAAAGATGGAAGGATGATACCAAGGTCCTCACAACAATTTCAACCTCATTTCAAGGCAAAACTTGCTAATGCTCAAGCTCCTACTATCTCACAAGGATCCATGGAGTTCACTGCCAATCCATTGTCATTGATCAATGAATTTGCAGCTTACCTACAAAGTAAGGGGCACGGAGGAGGCTCACATGGTCAAGGCAATGAAGAGGGTAGTCACACAGCTATGTTGGGACAATTTGCTGGATTTCTTGCTGGAAATGAGAAAGTTCCAAAGGGAGAAGCATCAGGTATACTCAAAGCCTTTACTACTGCCCTATTAACTAGTACTGAAACTGATTGTTGGATAATTGATTCAGGCGCCACAGATCATATGACAAACAAAGTTACAAATTTACATCATTTTAAAAATTTTCAAGCCCCTCACATGTGTCTGTTGCAAATGGAAAAAATGTCTTAATTTTGGGAAAAGGAGAAATAAACTTACTCTCTCAAAAAACACCTTCCACTGCCCTCTATGTACCAACCTTTCCTTTTCAACTTTTGTCAATTGGAAAGATCACCAACACCCTAAACTGCCGTGCTATTTTCTCACCAAATAAAGTGATGTTTCAGGATGTTCTCACCATGAAGATGATTGGTGAAGGGGTCTTCATAAATGGCCTTTACTACCTGTGCAAGAATGCATGTTTCACTCAGGCTCTTCAAGCTCAATCAAAGTCCATAGATGAAAACCAACTTTGGCATAGGAGATTAGCTCACCCCTCTGAACTTGTCTTGTCGAAACTGTTTCCAAATTTTTGTAACCCTTATCCTACTTGTGATACTTGTCAATTTTCTAAGTTTACTAGGCTACCTTTTGGTAATTCAATGTCTAGGACAAGTAAACCTTTTGAAATGGTACACACCGATGTATGGGGACCTGCAACTGAATCAATGGAAGGTTTTAAATATTTTGTTCTATTTGTTGATGATTTCTCTCGAACAAGTTTTCTATATCTTATGAAATCAAAAAGTGAAGTCCCTACTGTTGGAAATATGCCCTGAAAGTCAATCTTTGGAAGAAACCTTTCAGGACAATGAATTGATGTATATATGACTCTTATACATCGGAAGGCAAAGATACTAATTGGGACTATCTCAATGAACGAAATATGTCCTAAATAGTGAATCCATGGACAATGGAT